AATAATTAATTTATTTTAATATCCTATATAAGTCTGTGTCTATGCATTCTAAAAAAAAAGAAAGAATGTATATTATAACATAAACTTTATGGAGAAAAGTTTCTGGAAAATATGGCATTGGAGTTCTTTTGGTGTGGTTTAGACAATATAGTCACAGGCAATAGAAAAATGTTTGAAACATATAAATTTTCTTCTTAACTAAAAAATATGTTGAAGCAGATGAGAGAGGAATTGTAAGGCATACTTTTCCATTACCTGATATTTTTCATGATTGCACACAGCCTTAAATAACATAAAGATACCAAAATCCTCTAAGTAGACTTACATATACCACTAGTATTTAATGCAATTATAAAACTCACTCATAGACCTCAAGTAAAATTATAGAATTCACTCATAGAATCCAACTAAAATGTAAAATTATCTTACTTTTACATTTATAAAAGACTGATGGATTATCATCTCAGTGTAAGAACAAGAATTGCCTAACTAGTATTTTGAAAATTTTATTGAAAACTAAAAGCTAGTGGATAAAGACGTAATAACTTATGAGTAGTTATATCAACTAATATTAAAAATAAGATTCTCGGGTTTCTAGTTCATATTGTGCATTTATTTATAGTAAAATTGAGAAATGCACACAGATTTATATTGGAGCTCGGACTGTTATGGGCACACACAAAACTAAGAGTAAAAGTAACACTATATTAAAAATGATGATAATATTTTGCATTTTAAATTCTTCTGTGAAGAAAGTCAAAACACCTTAATGGCTGATTATCTTTTTAAGTAAGTTTATTTGCACTTTATACTGCTTTTAATATACAATAAAACAGAAAAAGTTTTACGATTATGTACTCGTGTTAATTTAAAGTAGGAATTAATCCTACCTTTAAAAAAATTAAAGACAAGTGCACAAGACACTCTTGGAGGCATGTAGTAAGAAAGAAACATTCCCTTTTTACTCAACCAACCATTACCCCTAGAAATAAAGAGGTATGTGGAGCTTATGGAAATGATTGCATGTAGCTAATCAAACTTTGCTAAATTAGAATAACATTGCAGGAAAATATCTTCAAAATTATAAGTAAAGAAAAAAAATATTCACACACTTTATGTTTGTTACTGAAATTGCTAACACACTAGAGTGTAGTTTTGAAGACCATGATCTAGGGAAATCACCTGGGTTCCTATTGTCAATAAAGAAGAGAATAAAGAAGTGGGAATAGAAGTATACAATGAATAATGTTCCTAGTAAAGATACAATTTTTCTTTCACCTTTTCATTCTAAAACACTGAATTTATTGTCCATACTATAATACTTTAGTCATCTATGTCTCAATTTCATTTTTATAGACTTATCATGTGTTTAATTCCCTTTTTATTGAAAATGCCAGATATGTATAGCAAAAGGATTTTCTCTTCTAACATAAAAAAGTCTAAAATCAACCCTAATGTGAATCTTTTAAAACTGAACTGTAAAAAACTATGTAAGAATATATTCCTTTCAAAATTTTATTTTAGTAGGTATTATTCTCCTGGCTCTATACATTTTCTTCTCTGAAAGCATACTAAGATGACTTATAGTAGTGCTACCAAAAAATATGAAAACACAGATATTCAAGCAAATACTGGAAATATACCCACTAGTAAGAACTCCCCAGTCTTCTCCCTCTTCTCAGCGAAGTCTTCCTTGAAAACACCTGTTGAGAAGTTTCTCTGAGACTTACATAATTTTATAAGCCACAATAAGCAGTTACTTGTGACAATTAGTGATAATCTCTACTTGATTTTAGATTCTCATGTTAATATATAAAATAATTCATATGGAAATTGTTTCTGTGAAAAGTGCTTTTATAAATTTGTATAACAATCTATTTGCCTTACCTACCACAAATCTATGTTCCTATTTTTCAAAATAAATTTTATAGCTTTAAAATGAATAAAATATTTCATTATAACAATCTTTTATTATGAGTCACGCTACTGAGGGTATTTTAATCACTGGTCTATTGGTTAAACACTTCAGAGATGATTTCACTTCAGCTGAGATACTTGAAATAAAATCTCTTAAAAACCTGAAATAAAATCTCTTCTCGCAAAGTCCTCTTTCTTCATTAGCTTACATAATTGTACCACATCCATATTCAATAAAATACCCTTATGCCCAAGAACCTACAAATCTCAACCTTAAAATTTTAAGCCCTACGACTCACATAAAATCTTTTGATACTAAAATAAATCTTAATTTGAGCTGTAACATGAGTCTTGGAAATCCTGAAGTTTCTAAGTTTTATGTCACCACTCTCTATCAATGCATCTCAGACAATTATGAAACTCTTTTCATTCCATCAATACAAATACACCATACACCTTCTACATGCTGGAAAATAAGATAAACCAGGTCTAGTAGCTGCTAGTCCAAGTGTCCTCTGATGGATTAAAATTCATCCTTAGAAATACACATGAGATTAATAGTTTGCTTCCTCAGCAGGCTGAGTTAAATACACTCACTAATAAATGCACTTGAAACAAGATTATGGGATACCTGAACACTTTAATTTAAACATATCACTTCAGCCCAGAGTATTTGTAGCATGCCAGTTTTAAAAATGAAGAAAAAAGTAAGGTAACTAAAGTCAATTTACTCTGTTTTCCAAAGTAGATGTTGAGAAAAACCTGATACTTTTAAAAGGAAATTAACTTAGTAGGAATTTACAGAGCATCCCTTATAGGATTGCAAAAATTCAACAGAAAAAACAAGCCTGTTTTAACAATTTATATTGAGGATATTTCCAGATTTCCAGGGGAAGAGCAATATGGGGCGGGGGGAGCAGGGGGAGCCGGGGAGAGGGCGCAGGGAAGGAAGGGGAATTCAAGAATTTAAAACATTTTTTCTGGGTCTTTATGGTGTGGATTAAGATTCAAGAAAAAAAGGAATGGCAAGGAAGTGTGTCCTTCTGTTTTCTGTTTAAACTATCTCTCTCCTTCTCTTCCAGTGTGTGTGTGATTTGCTTTTCCTCAAGTTTTACTGCTAATGAGAATCATCATCATCATCATCATCATCATCATCATCATCATCACCACCACCACCACCATCCACCCACCCATTAAGCAATGACCAGCTTCAAGAACACTAAGATATAAATACAATGTGGCACCCCAATCCTCAAAACCTCCTGGATACTTCTATCCAAGATTGTTCCTCACTATTAGACCAACTTCATTTTTACATGGAGCCTAAATAAGAATTCAACTGATAGAGCTTAAAGTAGAAGATCCAGCATTAAGCCTCTGGGATCCCATTGCAATGTCAATGGTAAAAATATAAGAGTGTATAACATGTGTATTTGTGAAATGACTGTAAAAGATTTATAAATATATATATATTTAACATCTCTCTTTAAAAAGATTATCATAAATACCAGTTTTCTACAGTCACAGAAAGACTTTCATGGAAACCATGATTTTTTTAAGGGAGAAATTTCTTGTTCAGTTTTATTAAACCTCAAAAAGCCATGATTACTGGTATCAGTAAACACTAAAAAGTGAAATTTAATGTTAGTACAATTAATACTTTGGTATATTCAGTGGCATGAAGTACAAGAATCTCTTTTACAAGGGCATTATACTATTATAAGAAAATAAGTTTTGCTAAGTTTTAGCATTTGTTACATTTGTCTCAGAAAATATAAGGTTATGAAATTTTAAAACCCTATTTGAATAATAAAAACATTACTTAAGCGTCATTTAAAGGTGTTTGCTTTTGAAAGCATAAAATAATGAACAAATTATTTTCATTTGCCCCAAACTAATCTTCCTCCCAAAGTGTCACTCATAGTTAAACTCAGTTTTGAATTTCCAGTACTGCTCATCCAGAGTAATTTGTAGTAACTCACATTCATAATAGAGGAGAATTAAGTTTTCCTGTGACACAACTCAATAGTGGATAAAAGAAACTAGGCAATGACTAGACACAATACAGTCACCTGCTGCTGTTAAAATCGATGTCCATGCTGGGTCATTTTTTTCATATATCAAAACCTTCGAACAATACTATCTAATACATAATAAATATCACTTAGACATACAGAAAATACACAGTATGCAAACTAAATGCATCCTGGAATTCTTTATGGCAAGTGCCTTTAGTGCAACTTTGCTTCCTGTTTTCAAGAGCCCCAAAGCAGCCCATGACCTTCTTGTGAACTTTCTACATCCATCAGTGACAGCAAAACACAGATCAGGAAAACCACAGGGCAGAATAAATTGAAACTTTTCATAGATAGTCACTCATCATTACCCAGAGTCTACATTTATACAAACTTTTGAAAGATCCTAAGAGTATATGTCACATTTCCAAAGCTTAAGCAACTTAATGCATTATGCTGCAGTTTTAGTTAAAGAGTAGATAGAATTCATGTCCTTGCAAATACTTTTTAAATATCAAGCTGACTTTGGGGGTGGCAGTGAAAACTGGCTCAAGTTGATTGAGGCTCTGGAATTCTGGCAGGTTTCTATATTTCACTTTAGGTAGTTAACTCCTTAACATCTGGGTACACATTTCTCTGACTTGGCATTATATATTTTAATGGACTTAAATGCACTTTTAAAGTGAATTAGGTAAAACATTTTTTTTTTCTACTCTGGAAATCCTTTCTTACAGGAAAAAAAAATGTAGAGCATCAAACAAAAATAAGGTAAAATAAACTATGAATAAACTTAACCTTGCTAACATTTTTAAAACTACAAAAATAAACTTTAAAAATGCAACAAAAGTAAGACATTTACATCTTGTAGATTTTAGACTATTTACATGGGAGAGAATATGTATAGATAATGTTGTACACAGGCAGTGGCAAAAGTGTAAACCATTTTCATTAGAAAAAAAAAATCCCCTCTCCCTGCTGCTGCCAGTGGCTTGTCCTGTAAGAAAGGTTTCAGGACAGCTCCCAAACCAGCAATCAAGTGAAGTCCCAGTGATGCTAAAAGTCTCCTACCTGAATTATGGACATCCGAGTGGCTGGGGTCTCGCTGGCATTAGTCCCTTGTCCGGTGAAGCTGGAGTGGCAGCCCGCGTGCCCCTGAGGAACAGTCAGGCTGTTGGAGGCCGGTTTGAGGTACATCACCTCGGACCGGGGCGAGCTGAGGGGCAGGCGGGTCTGGTAGTCGAAGTACATGGGGGACGTGGCCAGGGAGGGGCTGCTCACCACGTTCATGACGTTCATGGCGTTCCGCTCCTCCACCTCGCTCTGCACCAGCATGATATCGTTTTTGTTGATCTTCTTCTTCTTGCCCTTGCCCCCGCCCAGCTGCGGGTGGCTGTACTCGGCGATGCGGCAGTTGTAAGTGCGGATCTCCTTGTTCTCTCGCTTGCACTTGACCGCGATGGTGATCATGGCCGCGAGCAGGATGATGGAGATAGTGCTCAGAGTCACGATGAGCGGCAGCGACATGTCCCAGTGATGCTGCTCCCCGTTCACGCGGGGCACCCCCTCGGGCAAGGAGCCGCTCACCGAGCGGATGATCAGCTTGGCCACCGCGGACAGGGTGGGCTTGCCGTGGTCCGTCACCTTCACCACGAGCTCCACGACGGGAGTCACGTCCTCCCAGAAGGGGTGCAGCGTGCGGATCTCGCCGCTGGACGGATCTATTTCAAACAGGTGGTCATCGTTGCCGTCCACGATCTCGTAGGTGAGGCGCCCGCTCTCGCCGAAGTCGCTGTCCAGGGCGCGCACGGTGCTCACCAGGTAGCCCAGGCCGGCGTTGCGCGGCACCTGCAGCTCGGCTGTGTCGTTCTGCAGCGTGGGCAGCACGATCACCGGCGCGTTGTCGTTCACGTCCAGCACCGTCACCCTCACGGTGGCATTGCTCTCCAGGTGCGCGGGCGCCCCGGAGTCCTTAGCCAGCACCTTGAACTCAAAAGCCTTGGTCTGCTCGTAGTTAAAGGAGCGCAGGGCGTAGATGGCCCCGTTGGTGGGGTTCACGGACACGTAGGTGTAGATGGACACGTCGCCGATGTGCGAGGGCAGGATGGAGTAGGACACCGTGCCGTTTTGGCCCAGGTCGGGGTCCTGGGCGAGCACGGAGCCCAGGTACTCTCCTGGGATGTTGTTCTCATGCACCTGCAGCACGTACAGTCCCTTGGTGAAACGAGGTGGGTTGTCATTCTCATCCAGAATCTTGACGGCGAACGACTTGGTGGAATTGAGGGGAGGGGAGCCCCCGTCCCGCGCCACGATGGTCACGTTGTACTCGTCCTGTGTCTCCCGGTCCAGCGGGCGGTCAGTCACGACCGTGTAGAAGTTATCGTAGTTCTCCTCCAGCTTGAAGGGCACCGGTCCTCCCGGCCCGCCCAGGCCGCCGGCCGCCCCACCTCCGCCCAGGACCCGGCACTGCAGCTGCCCGTTCTTACCCGAGTCGCGGTCAGTGACCCGCACGAGGGCGATGACGGTGCCCGGCGGGGCGGCCTCACTCAGCGCCCCCTGGCGCACGGAGACGAAACCGATGGACGGCGCGTTGTCGTTGCGGTCGATGAGCTTGACAGTGACCTTGCAGTGGGCCGGGATGGGGTTGGGACCCAGGTCTCGAGCCTGCACGTCGATCTCCAGCATGCCGTTCTCCTCATAGTCCAGGTTGCCTTTGACACGGATCAGGCCGGTCTTGGGGTCGATGGAGAAGAGCTCCCGCACGCGGTCGGGCACGTAGCTGCTGAAGGAGTAGAGCACTTCGCCATTGGGGCCTTCATCGGCGTCCGTGGCATTCAGGTCGATGACCACGGTGCCCACCGGGGAGTTCTCGGGCAGTTCCACCAGGTAGGAGGGCGCCTCGAAGACGGGGCTGTTGTCGTTGGAGTCGATCACCTTCACGTTGATCTGCACCGTGGCGGAGCGCGGCGGCTCCCCGCCGTCCAGGGCGGTCAGCACGAGCGTGTGGTGGTTCTGCTGCTCGCGGTCCAGCGCCTTCTGGATCACCAGCTCCGGGAACTTGGTGCCGTCGCCCCGGGACTTGACGTCCAGCGCGAAGAGGCCGTGGTCGTCGCGGGTGAGCAGATAGGTGCGGAGCCCGTTCTCGCCCGCGTCGGGGTCGTGCGCGCTGGTGAGGGGGAAGCGGGTGCCGGGGGCCGCGTTCTCCGAGATGTCCATCTCGATCTGGTCGGAAGGGAAGGAGGGCGCATTGTCGTTGATGTCCTGGATCTCCACCTTGATCATGCAGATCTCCTTGTCGTTGGCGAACACCTCGAGGGACAGCTGGCACTTGGCGTTGTGGCGGCACAGGGACTCGCGGTCGATGCGCTGCTTGGTGTAGAGGAGCCCGCTGTCCGCGTCCACGTCCAGCAGGTGCGGCGCCGAGTTCTCCAGCACCCGGTAGCTGCCGGACTTGCTGCGCCCGCCGCCGCCGCGCTCTGCGGGCGGAAGCCCCGGCTGCAGCCGCGCA